ACGTACACCTATAGCCCTACTCACGGATCTTGAATCTCCCCTTTATGATGTCATCTCGCTCAAAATATCTCGACCTACTGTGACTATTTTTCTTTGTTTCCTATACTGTTCTCCCAACTCTACCAACTATTTCGAACTCTTTGACTATCTCACTTCTTACCATGAGTCGTTGCTATCCACACACCCCAACACCGAGATCCTCTACCTAGGGGATTTCAATGTACATCACAGAGAGTGGCTTGGCTCTGCAAAGGATGACCCAGGTGGAGCTGAGGCACTCTCTTTTTCCTTACTTAATGATTTGGAACAAATAATCAAACACCCTACACGCGTTCCTGATCGACACGATCAACTTGCTAACATTCTTGATCTTTGTTTTACCTCTAATCCCTCACACTATTCATACTCAATTTCTGCCCCCTTAGGGTCTTCTGATCACAACCTTATTTCTATTAAATTAAACTGGGCACGACCACCTCCCCCACCCCCCTCTAAACGTCAACTATGGCACTATCGGAGGGCAAGCTGGCAATCCTTGCGAGAATTCTTCACCGACTTTCCTTGGGATGAATGTTGCTTTCCCACTCGGGATGCCTCAGTATGTGCTGACAGCAATGCTGGGGTTATACAGGGCGGTATGAGTGCATTTATCCCATCTTCTACCAAAGCTTTCACATTGCAATCATGGTTTGATCGCTCCTGCTCTCTTGCTTGCAGGGTGAGAGATAGGACATATCGAGCTATGAAACTATCTCTTTCTCCTATTACCCACACTTCTTTCATTACTTCTAGGAATCGTTGTAAGGCTATTCTTCGTAGGGCCAAGCGGAATTTTATTAAAAGAAAGACCGCTGTCCTGACTAATTCTTCCTCCAGTAAATCCTTCTGGTCCTTAGCTAAAAACATCTGTAACAACTTCTGCACGCCTTCTTTTCCTCCCCTCTTCCGTCCCAATAACTCTATAGCCAACTCTCCCCCTGAGAAAGCCAACCTCTTTGGCACCTTATTCTCCTCTAATTCCACCTTAGACGATTCCCACTCTACCCTTCCTACCCCTGCACCTCCTACTGAACCTATGCACTTTCCTATAATCTCCACTCGCAGGGTTGCCGGTGTGTTATCCAGGTTGGATGTGAGTTAGGCGCATGGACCGGACGGAATACCCCCTCGTGTTCTGAGGGAGTGTGCTGAAGCCCTGGCCCCTGTGTTTGCTCGCCTCTTTCGCCTTTGCCTCTAAGCCAAAACTTTTCCTTCTTCTTGGAAGCATGCCTTGGTTCAGCCCATCCCGAAGAAGGGTGACCATTCTAATCCCTCTAACTATCGCCCCATTGCCCTAACTTCATCCGTCTCTAAGATTTTCGAAACTATCTTGTACTCCCATTTTCTCCGTCACCTTGAACGCCTTTCTCTTTTGTCGGATCACCAGTATGGCTTTCGCCAGGCGAGATCTACTGGTGATCTGCTCTCCTATTGCACCCATCTTTGGTCATCCTCTCTTAGGGATTATGGGGAAACTTTTGTCGTGGCCCTCGACATCTCCAAAGCATTTGACAGGGTATGGCACAAGTCTTTGCTAACTAAACTTTCCCCTTTTGGTTTCTCTCCCCCACTTTGTTCTCTCATCTCTAGCTTCCTTGAGAATCGACCCATGGCAATTGTTGTCGAGGGATCGATTTCTCGCTCTTTCTCTACCAGTAGTGGCGTCCCACAGGGTTCTGTTCTTTTACCAACTCTCTTCTTTTTATCAATGATTTACTTCACACTACAGCTAATTCTATCCATTCTTACGCCGATGATTCTACTCTTCACTCTTCCTCACATTTTCCCCGTCCTCCTAACTCTCAAACTAGATCTGTTTCTAGAACTGATATCATTACTTCTATCAACGCTGATCTGTGCAGCATCTCTGAATGGGGAGATACAAACTTGGTTAAGTTCAATAGTAACAAAACTCAATATTTACCAATTACACTTTGTAAAGTAGACGATCTCCCACCAATTACATTTCAGGACGCTATCATCCTCCCAAATTCTGAAATACATATGTTAGGCCTCACCATTTCCTCCAATATGTCCTGGAAATCACACATCCTTAGTATAACTAAAGCTGCCTCCCGAAAGTTGGGAATGCTGTACAGATGCCGCAGCTACTTCACTCCTGAGCAGTTGCTCCAAGTATATAAGGGATTCATTCGTCCTAACTTGGAGTACTGCTCTCATATCTGGGGTGGCTCTTCTTCTGTCCAACTATTAGATAGGGTGGAATCAAAGGCATTTCGTCTTATTAACTCTCCTCCTTTAGTCGACAATCTCTCTTCCCTTTCTCTTCGCCGCAATGTTGCTTCACACTCTCTCTTTTACAGGTCCTTTAACGAGCAATGTTCAGTGGATTTGGCATCCTGTGTACCGCCGGCAAGGCCGTGGGTTCGTAACACACGTCTTGCCCGCGGTGCCCACCATTTCTCTGTGGATGTCGGTCACATGAGAATAACCCGTTAAATCTGAATGACAACACTGTATGGTGACTGCTGCCAACTGGGGCAAGGTGTTCCAGTTTGGCCACCATACCCTCCTCGTTTGTTATGATGAGGTCAAGTGGCTTGGGTGTTTGCTCCGCTCTGTAATGTGTCGGGTCTCTAACATGTTGGAACAGAAAATTATCTCTCAGAGTTTCTACAAAAAGAGTAGCAGGGTTATTCAAGTCATTCGGGGTGGACTCGTTTCTCCAGTCGATGTCGCCATAGTTAAAGTCCCCCATGATAAGGAGGTGGCTAGGGTTGAGCATCGCCGCGTTGTTTATTAAGGTTCTTAAGTTCCTTTGATTTAGTGGGCCACAGTTTGGGGATCTGTAGATACACCCGACGATAAGTAAGTCCCCTCCCTTTAATTTAATTTTACACCACTTGGACTCTTCATAAACATCCTCTCCCTGTACCCTCGCCTGGCTGGCTCTAAGGTCTTGCCTAGCGTAGATAACCACACCCCTCTTGCAAGTTTCTTGAGATAGGTTCGTAAATGAGTCATATCCAGCAATACTGAACTCGCATTCCTCTGGGTCGATTCTCCTGTTCTTGTACAACAGTTCTACAACTCCTACAATATCTGGTTGGTGTACTCTTAGTAGTGTTTCAAACTCCTCTCTCTTACCAAGGAACAGAATGGATATAGAATCCTTGGAAAGAATTCAGAGGAGAATGACAAGACTAATCCCGGGCATTAGGAACCTTGAGTATAGAGACAGGTTAAAGCATCTTAATCTGCACTCCCTTGAGAGACGTAGAGCGAGGGGCGACCTGATAGAGGTGTATAAGTGGAAGGCAGGGCTAAACAAAGGGGACATTACAAAGGTACTCAAACTATCCAACCAGGAGCGAACTCGTAACAATGGTTTTAAATTAGACAAATTTAGATTTAGGCGTGAAATAGGTAAACACTGGTTTGGAAACAGAGTAGTGGATGAATGGAACAAGTTACCAAATATCATCATTAACTCGAATACGCTGAATTGCTTCAAACATAGGTTGGATGCTCATATGAGCAATAGGGGTTGGGTGTAAACGGGACTGCCCAGTATGGGCCAATAGGCCCACTGCAGTTTCCTCCATTCTTATGTTCTTATGTTCTTATGTGTCAGTATTAGTGTACACGACATTCAAGCCAGAATTTGTTCTCGGTAACGTCTCTGCTCTTAGTAATAAACCCGCTCCCCCCACATTCTCAGAAGCTGCAGCATTTGCTAAGTACACTGTATTTTGCAGGGTGTGGTTAGAAATGTCATTGTTTACACGGCGCTCGCCCCCTCCTGTCCGGTAGGCTGAGCTGGTGCCGCCACCCGGGTGGGGGGTTGAGTGGGTGGAGGGTGCACTGCTGCCCCCTGGCCCTGTGTCAGCACACTTGTTTCCACTACCCTCCCCCTGAGTATAACCCATGTACACCTGTTCCCGTTCCTCCTCGACTCCTCCCTCTTCTGCTTCAAGTCCTGCAGGAGCTTCTTGTGCTGTTCCCTCTGCATTACCGTGCGGTCTGGGTGAATGAATACATCCCAAAATGCCTCGCTCCTTGCTAAGTTTTTTGCCTGCCGAATAACCTGCCATTTCTCCTCCTCACTCACTAGTGTGATCCTGAGGGGGCGAGGCTTAGCCCCCTGCTTTTGTTCCAGCCTCCTCACATCCTGAGGGGTTGATGGAATCTTCAGAACCTCTGTGCAAATATTTTGAAACAACACCTTATCGTGTGTTTCCTTACTCACAGTTCCCTCCGCCTGGCTCTCTGGGACTCCAAAAACTATTACATCGTTCCTGCGCTGGAGACGTTCTTGGTGTCCCTCCTCTCCCCTAATAGTAGGTCCGTTAATTTTCATTTCTTCGACACACTTCTTCAAAGTCCCAAGCTGTTGTAGAACCTGTACTGATCCTGCATTACTCTCCGCCCCCTCCCGTGGCCCTCCTAATACGTCAAAATAACTCCTCTTAGCAATTACCTCCATTCTATCGGCTACTTCCTCAGTCTTAGCAAGGATCTCTTTCCCAACTTGCTCCAGTTTGGCAACCAGCAGGGCTCCAGCTTCATCTATTTTCGTCCCTAGAGGACTCGTTCCCTTATGGCTTGCAATTGCTTCATTCACCTTGACTATGCAGCCTGGGCAATACCAGCAACAGCTATCATGCTTTACGGCAGTTAGTAACTTCCTAAACTGTGCATTAGTCAGGCCTATATCCTCCATATCCGACGTCTCCCTGCAGTAATCACATATCAAACTCATGGTTGTTGTTGTTGTGGGTGGGTGCAGACCGTGTATAGATCTACACCTATTTAAAAAAGTAAAGAGAGAAAAAGTACTTAGCTACTCTCTGTTGCCTAGGCGAGGCTAGGCTTGGCTATACCTTGGGCTACGTTATGTTATGTTAGGTTAGGTTAGACTGCAAAGACAAAAATTAGAAACACGAAAAAAATCGAATTGAAAATATTATGACTTGCGTAGAAATTGTTAACATAATCACCTTGGGTGGTGGAGGTCCTTCCTACGCTGGTGGCCGACTGATGCGTGAAGCTGGGTGTAGCTGATAATACGACTCATATTATTTTTATTATGTCACCGTAATGATGAATTAAATTAAAAAGTGAGTCTCCAGAAAGATACAAAACCTAGGAGGATTGGTAAAAATAATCCGAGAACGTTTAGAGCGGAAGAATGTGGTCACCAACCCTCAGCCATGAGAATGTTACTGCACTCTCAATGATGTCCTAGCTTTCCATGAGTGACAGATAGTTTACGTCTGAGCCAGTAACTTATCTATGGTGAAGGAGGTAGATAGTGTAATCTAATATTATCGTTTGAGTTGATTACTGGCATACCTATCGAAGTAAACAAATATCCGTATCTGGCCCTGGGCAAAGTATTCATTAAACTTTACGATGCTTTATAGTTGTAGGAAGTGAGATTTTTCATAACATTGGCAATTTTTAAGATTTATATATAAATTATCAAACTTCAATTTTAATGCTATCAGGATAATAATAGCCCGGAGTTCATCAACATGATGGTACTGTACCGCACCTTCAGTACAGCGCGGCGGCTGCACAATAAGTATCACTCAGTTCATCAGATTTGTCGATATATTTCCCGGAAGAAAATAATCTTGTATAATTATAATTCTGGTAAATAATGTTTATATACTTGTTTAATGATAAGTCCTGTAGAGAGGTAAGCATTGGGTGTACCTGAATGATTCAAGCCGTGTATTATAAGGCAGGCCTCCGAAAATTATTCTTTTTTCGCACAGTATACCGAGTACCTAAGCTAATAATTGATGAACTCTTTATACGGATATCAGTCTTGATGCATCATAGTTACACAAAAATTATGTACGAAAACAGCACCAAAATTACAGTGAAGTCCGACTTCGTTGGTACAGTATACTTACATAGTGCCAGTTAGGGCCCGGGTAATCTAAGGTAAGTTTTTCTAAGCAGTTTTGTATCTACTTAGGGTGAAGTCTCTGTTATTGTTATGCAATTTTGGTGGCAATTTTTTTGTTTAGTTAAAATCAACAAGTTGCATTATCACATCTTCAATAACGAGGAACATTCACTGTATAATCCCTTGATAATCAGCACCCGGAGTTATTGACGATTAAGTTCTACGTTGATAAGAACTCTAATGGCGAGAATGAATAAAGTATTCTCAGAGGCACTGAAATTATTATTAGTTTCTTTTCTTATGCCGACTCTCGAATTACTTGCACTGGGTAGGGTGGTAGAGATTGTATCTCGGGCAAATTTTTTTTTGAGTTTAACGTCGGCCCGTAATTATTAATGATGTAGTTCTATGATCTTGATATCTTCAGATTTGAAAAAGTTTTCATTTTTTGAAATCATTTAACTGAAATCTTGAAAATTCAAGTATTCCTGCCCTTTTGCAACACCTAAATACAACAATTTAAGTAAAAAGTAAATGTATCCAGGTTAATTTATTGGGATGAAATGATCCAGAATAGTGAAATGAATGATCTTGACTTTATTTATTAAATTTAATATTCCTTTAGAAAACAAAATCATCAAATACAAAAACCAGTTTCACCTGACCCAGTGTTACTACACAAAGAGAACATGTCTTTCTTGCTTCTGTTTCTCTCATCACCTCCCCTGCTGACCACCACAGGCTCGATGCAGCCTTCCCTCCTCTCCTGTTTTTGGCCTTGTGACTGCTGCTTCGCTCACCTGCTGTACTGCGCTCACTCCTGGGTGATAAAAGGCCGACAGGGTGTCATAAATTGTCCAGGAAAGCTCTGACTTGAACATTGGTGAGGCTGCAGGTAGAGAATGCTGCCAGCCTGGATATTATCCCGGATCTATGAGATCAGTGAGGGTCTTAACACCTAGATTGACTTCAGGAGTCTTCCTGACCCTGAAGGAATGGTCACTCAACTGATTCGTCATGCCAAGATTCTCTCCTAAGTCTCATATCCAAGATCTTTTTGAATGCCACTCTTCTCCTCCTCATCCTTACTGCAGGCATTGTTGTCTGCAAAACTGCCTCAGGATGAAACGCCACCAGGAAGATCTCCTCACGATCTGCTCCACAATCTGAACAACCTTCATGGCTGGCTCTCCAGGAGCTCCAAGCTGAAGAACATGCCTCGGACCTTCGGAGAACAGTGACTTGACCTTGGTGTTGAACCAATTTGGCAGCTGGAAGCACTCACGTCGATGGATGTTTAATAAGTCTCCAGGTTGGCAAAGCTGGTTCCTTTTCAAGTTCTGATGACTTTGTTTAAATTCTACAGAACACAAGGCCGTTGTGAGCCACCTAGAGATATCTTGAAGACTTGGACCTGTCTCTGCGGGTAAGCAAGTCTATCGAGCATGACCCCAGTTTTGATGGCACTGCAAATCATGTAACCACTAGTACTGGTCAGTACTCAGGTCGTCAGCAACAGCTATATTGCAAGCTCAACAGGTGGAGGCAGCATGATGATTTTTTAGCTCAGTTGTTCTAACTCAGTGGCAGAGTCAACATCTTGCCAAGAGGACCAGATAATCTGTTGTTTGAAGGAATCTTGCCTGCATCAGCTCCTGGATCAGATGTCTGGTAGCAGCTCTCGTTGGTGTGGAGGTCTGGAAACAATCCAGACCAGCTTCCTCCCAATCTTCCGCTCTATCCACTGCCAGCCCCCCCCTTGCCCACCCTGTGTTCGTGTTGGTTCTGTCCTCAATAACCTGGGGTCTGGTCTACGTTCCTCTCTCTGGGCAGTTCTGTGTTATCTGCCACTATCTCAGCTAGTTTCCTGATGTCATCTTTCTCTGGAGTGAAATGCACAGATACTTCCCCCTAGTTCCTGCTTGAGGAGTAGTGTTCCTCCTTCTACCATGGCAGGAACAACATCAGAATCTCCAACTTTCATGACACTTTAGTGTCATCCTTCTCCCATCAAAGAACAAACAATTGATTCCATTTTCTCTTATCCTTATCAAACTCACTCTTCTGGAGTTACCCAACAAGTTTCTCTGACTCCTCATACTTTATTTATGATCTATCACCAGGTGAACATCATGGTGTTATCAAACCACCGTCTTCCAGGCGGCTGTTTTACTATCTCTGCAGTTTCTCTGAGACCGGTGGTGTGGTGTCGCGCGTGGCTGTACGAGCTATACTCAGGATATCTTTCCTATTTCGAATCTTATGCCTGGAAGAGTTTGGATCATTACTTTCTGGGTTGGGGACAAAGTCACCATTCTCCTACAATCCAGCACTCTGGATCAGCCATGGGGAAGTCATTAAACTCTGAATCAGCTTAATTCAATCATCTGGCCTTTTTACCTCACCCTGGGCCTTCTCCAGGTCTCTTCTCTCAGCAACTCTTCTTTCTCCCCTCTTCTCTCTTGGCAGCCTCCTGTCTTGGACTCCGGAATATCTTGGCTGAAATCCTTGAGCCCTATACTCTTGATCTTCACTCTCTGTGCTTTGGCAAATACCAGTTCAGTCTGAGGGAATCTTCAGTTCACGCTTGCAAATACAGGAGATGTGGGCCTCGGTTTACAGTCACGATCGCATCAACTCAGGAATGGCAGAGAACAATTAGGCACTTGCAAATGGTATGTCAAATAACTGGTCAGTTGTAGCAAGCTATATACTTTAGGTTTTCTCCCAGAGAATATCTCTTACCTTTTCCCCAACTGGCTGTGATCTCTCACTAATGTTCTTCACCTGACTTTGTTATGACTGGAGGCTTGAACTGAGCGTTAGCCAGAGTGTACTATTATAAGACAACTTTGGTCATATCACCAGCATGTCTTTGTTGTGTAAGTTCTTTGGTTCTTTTCACTGATTTGCCTGAAGTTAAAACACCGTATCTCAAAGCATCTAATGTGCTCAAACTGGGAGCTCTCCCGAACCAAGATGGTGACTTTAAAGATAGCGGATTTTGGTTCTACTCAATCACAACCCCTGACGTATGCAAATAATATCAACATAAATGCATCAGAATCTGAAACAGAAAAATAACTGACCCAGTTGGAGTTTGACTAAAGAGCCAACAATCTAGAAAAGCAATGTTCACTATTTGGTGTAATACACTAATGCAGCTGGCATGCATTAGATTTTAGATAAATTTCACTTCTTGCAAATTCCCTAACAAAAGGATGTGAAACTGAAATTGTTTTTCTGTTTATATACACTAAAATCTACCAAAAAAGTGATGGGCCATTAGTTTTGCTTTGATCTTCCCTCCTATGACACACCCTACTGGGTAGTAACATGGTATAAATAATTCCTATCACTTGGAAATTTGCGCCCAGCTTATTTTACATGAAGATTAACGACCCATTTGCTACCTTAGGGGTTAGGGTAGGTTAAGTTATGAGTTAGTGTAGATTAGCATGAGGGTGGTTAATATCCATGTGAAGTAAGCTGGGGGACTAATATTTAGGTGTTCTGGCATATAATTTATGAAACGAACAGTAATGGTCCCAGCACACTGCGCTATTGTACCCAGCTTCTCACAAGTATGCAGCACGATTTCGTGCCATTAATCAACACATACTACTTGCGGTCATGAAAAATGTCTCCGATCCATGCTTGTACACTCACCCAAATTCTGACCTCCTCCAGTCTAATTTTCAGCATTTCATGAGGTATGCTATGCAGTGCCTTTGCAAAGTCCTGATATATTGTATATGTCGATATTAGCACCACGCTCCAGGAATTGAGTCCAAACATCCAGTACCTTATGTAATTGCGTCTATCATGTGTCCCGGCATAAAACCATGTTGGCATTCGTTTACAAGTGCTTCGTAGAAGATTTTCCATCAGAAACTCTTATAATGCTCTCTAGTGCTTAACACTGTACACACTATATGCTCAAGCTCACTGGCCTATATCCGTGGGGTAGTGATCTACCCGTTTGAATATTGGACTCGCATACTGTACGCCATTTTCCAGCCATTGGGGTCCTTTTGCAGGTCCAACCATCTGCAGAACCGGATTTTGAGTGGCTCAGCCAGGGCTCTTTTAAACCTTTAGCTTTGGTAATTTGTTCCTAATACACTCTTCTGAGAACATAATGTGCATCAGCGCTGTGTCAAACCGCCTTCTCTCAAACGCAGGGAGATGGTTCGCATAGTCTCGTGAACACTGAGGAAAAGGATTTGTTTAACACCTGCGCTTTTTATCTATACTATGAGGATGACTCACCCAATGTTAAATTTTTTAGCCTTCCGCGACGGTGGCGTCGCCAAGTGCCTGCTAAGTATAA